ATAGATAGATAGATAGATAGATAGATAGATAGATAGATAGATAAAATAAATTGATGGATATACTTCAGTATTTTTGAACTTTAGAAATGGAATTATCAGGCAATACATTATAATACAGTACAATCTTCCTTTTGCCAAATATGTTTACATTTAATGCTAAAGAATGGATCTCTGTTCTCATAATTGGAAGTGCTAGTAATTTGTAAACCAGAACCTGCTGTTTCTAATAAAGACAACAAAACTGGGAATTCTGTATAAGGAAAACCAACACTAGTATAAACACAGCATACAACACTGACTAAATGCAATAATATACTTTTAAAATAGTACATCACAGTAACTCAGAGACTTTGCAAATACATTTTGCTATGTCACCAACTTATAGTTTAAGTAACTGTGTGCCACTGATTAAATTTCTTCCTATATAACACTGATAATGCTCCTCCCTTTCTCTTCTAGATAAAGTGAAATGTAATATAACTTGTTAGGATTTCTCTTTCCCAATCTTAAATCTAATGGTGCTTAAATCCTCTGTAAATGAGTTGTAAGGATTTGCTTTGTGCCTCTGCTAAATATGACTGCTAAATACCTCTTGAAAGCCTTAGATCCTGCCCTTGCATATAATTGTGTACATGCATAACACCAATGCACATTAATTCTATAATTCGAGACAAAAGTACATGTTGGCAAAATTCATTCTTTGATACACAACTGTGACAATCAGCGGTTCACATGCTGACATCAACTGCCTTTTGTGTCTTAGCTGTTTCCATACTGCAAACTTTAAGTGCGCTATTCAAGTCCTGTGGCTCAAACTGACTGCCATACTGACTGTTACTCCTCATAATCTGAATTGGTGCACTGAGATTTTGTGTAAACCAATATTCCACAAATAAAAATAAGTGGTGTTTTGTTTCAGAAAGTCATTTCTATGCCTAATCCATTGTTGGGAGTGTGCTCAAACAGAGTATAACTTTGTGTTAGAGTATAACATTTTGCATCTCATGACAGATAGGCTTGCAGAACATTTTATCCATCACAACATTTTGCATCTCATGACAGATAGATAGGCTTGCAGAACATTTTATCCATCACGCTGACCACAGTATGTAAATTTTACACCAAAGCTCTTCAGGCCATTGCTGTTGTGGGTTTTTCGGGCTCTTTGGCTGTGTTCTGAAGGTTGTTCTTCCTGATGTTTCGCCAGTCTCTGTGGCCGGCATCTTCAGAGGACTGGAGTAGGAACTCAGTCCATGCTCTGTTGCTGTTTGTTCGATAGTTGAGTATTTATAGCAGAATGTTCCTTACTTCTCTGTTCATTTCCATAAGGGGAAAATAGTGGACAGTGTTGGGAATCCTAGACATTGCAAGACCACAGCATGTTACAGAGTTCACAGTGGTTATTATATACGGTCAGTAATTCTTTAACAGCACCAGCAAGCTAGGACAGCTTGGTGTGGGAGCTGACAGTGACAAGCTTACCTAAAGTATTTAAAGCTAACTCAAATTCAGAGTGAACACATTTCATATATAGTTCAGTATTAGCCCTACTCGTGTACTATTTTGGCTGTAAAAGGATGGGAAATGGACTCGTTCATATAATTTATTTTGCAAGAATGTTTTATAGACACTTACAAGCAAACTTCCCTTAGGACCTGCATGGAATTATTTCATAAACTAGTACTACACAGTTTGAATTCAAAATGTCTGGCAAAAAATGCATTTTTAAAATCTTGTCTAATCCACATATATAAAAAATAGCACATGTAGTTAAAACTGAAATAGTGTTTCCTTTTCAGAGGAAAAATCACCCATTAGAAACAAATGTGCAAACAAATAGAAATAGCACCACAGTGGAAGAAACAACACTGCCAAATAGTGTTTTAGAGGCTTCCTCTAAACTCTTCATTGTTGATTTTCAATTTGCCTCACTGGACAGATTTTCAAAAGTTTGTTCTTCACATGAATTATCAGATGACTAGGTCAATAACAGCATCAGAGGATTAAGTTACTGATAATTTAACTGGCACTGTATCTTATGAGAGTATGCATGGAGCTAAGTGCTTATTATAAATCAACTTGGTTGCCATTGTGCGTATTCAAAATGTTATAGTACAGTGGTGCCTCGCTTAACGATGTTAATTGGTTCCCAAAAAAACATTGCTATGGGAAAACATCGCTAAGCGAAACACCATTTCCCATAGGAATGCATTGAAAACCGGATAATCCGTTCCAATGGGAACAGATTACCGTCCTTAAGCGAAAATCACCATGGGAAACATCACTAAGCAAAATGCAGTTCCCTCATTGGAATGCATTGAATAGGTTTCAATGCATTTCAATGGTTTGTTCTGACTCTTTGTTAATTTTTGGTGAATTTTTCCCCCATTGGAATGCATTGAACTGTAGGTTTGACAGCTGTCAAACCTACAGTTCAATGCATTCCAATGGGGGGGAAAATTCACCAAAAATTAACAAAGAGTCAGAACAAAGCCAAATTAAGTTTGCAAAGGTTTTACAAGGTGCACTAACGATCCCAAGCATTTAAAACAGTTTTTGAACATTTTAAGACACACTTAAAATAGCGAAAATGGACATCGCTAAGCGAAACAGGGGGACCTAAACTGTCATTGCTAAGCAAGGCAAGATTCCGAACATCGCTATGCGAAATTTCCCCATATGAAACATTGCTAAACGGAGCGCATAATCGCTCCAAAAACCTCATCGCTAAGCGAATACATCGTTAAACGAGGCAATCGCTAAGAGAGACACCACTGTAATTGAAGTTTGCATATGCAGTAGAACCTTTGAAGCCAACCTCTATCCCTTCATACTCACCCCAACTGCTCCTGCAGCTTGTGACCCCATCAGTAGCATCTCAGGTAATCTCAAAGGCTACTGTGAGAAATAACTTGGAAAGTCCAGTGCTTTAGATGCAGGGCATCTTTGAATCCTGCTCTGTAAGGATTAGTTTACCCATTATAGTACTTCCAAAATATTGCGAATATTAAAATTCTTCTCATAATAAAAACAAGAGAATCTACCGCCATTTTAATCTGTTCATTCTTGTTAATGAAAACTTTAATGCAATACTTTGCCAACCTCTGCAGGAACTGTCATCTTGAAGATGCTGGTCTGATATCAAACTGATTTTTAAAAAGTCTCCCTAGAGACTATATGCTGCTACAAACCTGAATTTAAAACGACAGCAGCTTTTCAGTTACTTTGTTCATTCAGTTACAACACTAACTAGAATAATTTATTTTTGACACTAGATATCATTGCTACAAGTCTCACCCTATTAATGGATACCTTAAGCATTGGGATGGGGCAAGCTCCATTGGAGAATCCCAAGGTCTCCCCACAGATTTACCAAAGGGCTTACTGCCCACACCCTAGAAAGCAGGGCTAGGTGTTAAGAAGAATAATCTAGATTTTATAGATAACAAAGTACAGTAGGACCCCGTATCTGCAGGATCAGTATCTGCTGATTCACTTATCTACGAACTGGGTATGTTTAGCTTTGAGAAAGAAGGCAGGGGTGATAGGATAACACTTTTAAATTACTTGAAAGGCTATCTTACAGAGGAGGGGCAGGATCTGTTCTTGATCATCCCAGAGTGCAGGACACACAACAATGGGCTCAAATTACAGGAAGCCAGATTTCAACTGAATGTCAGAAAAAAAGTCCAAACTGTTAAGAGCAGTAAGACAGTGGAGCCAATTACGAGACATGGCAAGGGCTCCAACACTGGAGGTATTTAAGAGAAACTTAGACAACCACCTGGCAGACATGCTTTGATTTGTATTCCTGCATTGATCAGGGGGTTGATGGCCTTATAGGCCCCTTCAGACTTCATTATTCTACGATTCTATGACCTGAAAATATTAAAAGACCACCACTCAAATATATATTAACAATGTTCACAGAAGTAGCCATGAGAGGGAGGCAGAGACAATGCTATGTATAGCATTCACTATTATAATAGTGTTCGCTATGATCCACATTTTTCAGTATCTGTGGGGAGGCTTGGAACCAATCCCCCATGGATACGAGAGTCCTACTGTAGTCTAATTTCAAACATTCAACAAGTTCTAATAGGAACTGCCGTAATTCTGTGGCAGCTGAATACGCTATTCAACATGACAATTATGTGTTCACAAACTGCACTGAAATGCTTTACTGACTGTGCCCCTAAATTGTGCATATGCATTTTCTGTATGTGATATGAAATGCGTAGTCACAGAAGAATCATTTAGAATTTGCTAGCTGTGGATAGTGACGATCTGATACATTCCACGTTTTCCACTGCCCTGCTTCCAACAATTTGTATGCATTTTCATATACGACTGCCATTTTTTCTATTTTTTTTTAAATCATCCACTTCACATCTTCAAATGCCTTTACAATTCTCCCTATTTTCAAAAGCTTACTTGATGCAGTATACTGCTAGAATCCACATAGTGCTTCTGTAAGTTTCCTTTAGCAACCCTCATAACACTTTCAAAGGATGTAAAAAGCACTTGGGTGTTACAGAGTAGAGAAGAGGGATTCTGATTGCAAAACACTGACTGTTAATTCAGGGAGCTAGTTAGAATATGACTGTAGCTTAGACCAGACCATTGTGGTTGGTCTGGGGACCAGTTTTCTGCCTCCACTATACTTCTGGGGAACACAAAACACCTAAAATGCCCTGAAGTACAAAAAATGAACTGCAAGTGGCTACAAGTCCACCTCTAGGTTTTTTTTAAATGATTGTTTGGGGCTGGTAAATGCTGTGGGGTGGTGAAGGAAGTTTTTAGACATGAATAATGACTCCCAGGAACTGCAATTCACCCCTTTTCCTAGAAAAAAGAAACTAGGAAGCAAGTCCCCCCCCAAAAAAAAACAGCCTTGGGGAAGAACTACAGCCTCAAGGATACACTTTCCTACGCAATGTAAGTCATTCAAACATTTCCTTTCCACATTTCCAGAACACATTATTTACAAGGAAATAATTGTATATTCTACAATGTAATGCATTACATTCAAACCCAAACTAGAAAATATCAGGGAGAAACACGCCTCACAAACTGTTTGCAAAGAATGAACTCATGTCAGATAAAAGTATGTAGAAACATATCATAGGCTTCATGCACTTCAGCCGTAATCCACTTGTTAGTCCCAAGAAGAGCAGACCCACTGGATCAATTAATGAATGTTAACACTAGCATTTCCACATGAATAAATTCAATTTTCCTTTCTTATTCAGAAACTGAAAGTGTAACTGATTCAATGGATTTATACTACTCATACCACTTGGGACCACCAATTAAATTCCAGTTCTACTGATGTTTAACAGTCATTTCAATTTCCCCCTGATGCCTATTTACTTATAAAAATAAGTACTTATGCTAATTTTTATTGTTGTTTAGTCATTAAGTCATGTCTGACTCTTTGTGACCCCATGGACCAGAGCATACTAGACCCTCCTGTCTTCCACTGACTCCCGGAGTTGAGTGAAATTCATGTTGGTAGCTTTGATGATACTGTCCATCCATCTTGTCCTCTATCGTCCCCTTCTTCTCTTGCCTTCACACTTTCCCAACATCAGGGTCTTTTCCAGAGAGTCTTCTCTTCTCATGAGATGACCAAAGTATTGGAGCCTCAGCTTCAGGATCTGCCCTTCCAGTGAGCACTCTGGGTTGATTTCTTTTAGAATGAATAGGTTTGTTCTCCTTGCAGTCTAGGGGACTCTCAAGAGTCTCCTCCAGCACCACAATTCAAAAGCATCAATTCTTCAGTGGTCACCCTTCTTTATGGTCCAACTCTCACTTCCATACATCGCTACTGGAAAAACCATAGCTTTGACTATGCAGACCTTTGTTGGCAGGTGATGTCTCTGCTTTTTAAGATGCTGTCTAGGTTATGCTATTTTTTTACACTGGAAGAATGGTATAGGTATTGATTATATGGTATAGGCATACAAAGTATGGTAGCAAGAAAGGGCATTTTATATCTGTCTGCTTTTCTGGGATATAGAACCAGAAGCATACTGTCAATAGGCACTATATTTAGGAAGGATGCTCTGTTTCGATAAACAAGAAGGCTAACTTAATGAATTGACATTCTGCACTGGATATCAGAATGAGCATTTCAGTGCATACAAAACTAATAAAGACAACTGCATGAATGCATTCAGCACCAAAGGACAGAGTCATGAAGCTTTTCATCTCATCTATGAAAATTCTAACTGAACTTTTGGGAGAGTACAGATGAAATTCAGTGGTTCGTTCTCCTAGAATTGAACCATCGAATCAGTAGGACTTGTATTAGTGCTGATTTTAACAAACATCATTTAACAGATATAATTCAGTTGAGACTTACGCTTAAATTCAGCCCTCTAAGTATTCAAGAACAACATACCATAAAGAAAAGTTTGCTTTATATAGTGCTGGCCTTTAGCAGCAGTTTCAGTAACCTCAGTTTAGCAATATGCTAAAGCACCTCTGGAGAAATGTTCCTGCCTTATTATCTTGCTGAAATGTAATCACACAAAGCAAATACCGTTATTTAAACATGATATATATAAAATAACTTAATACTGTTAAACATAATGTCTGTAAAAAGTATTTCACGTAAGTATTTTGCAATTAAAGAAAATCCCTCCAAACATGCTACTGTTTAAACTTAAATAGATATGGTTCTTCTCTTTTCCATGTTTCCAAATCAGGAAACATTACTTTGCTTTTAATATATATTACCGCAAGGGTTGACAGAGGTCTGACACCCCATGTTACGGTTCTTCACTTGAACACGGAATAAAGTCCCATCAGCACACATGCACAGCTTGTATCGCTCCCAGTCACCGTTGCTAAATTGGTCTTTGGGAGAAAAACTTGGCAGTCGAGATGTGCTGACCATCACACTTCCATTCAGGACAATACTCTTATCCTACCAAAGAAACAATTACAGGTGTTAACACGGATATTTCCATATGAGTAAATACAGTACTTATTTCCTTTCTTATTGCAGGCCTTGGAGAAATGATCCATATAAAGCTTTATTCATTTGTCAGAACACTCCACTTAGCTATACACTATTGGCCTGGCAGTAGTAGTTATGATGTCTCAGACAATGGACTTTCCTAACCCTGTTCCACAATTAATTAATGATGTGTTGCTGTTGTTTTGACTTACACAGCACCCCTGGAACACTCTTTGGGCAGTTTACAACATAATTATGCAAACAACAACTTGCCGCCTAGTGAGCTGAGTAATCTGTTCACTACTGAACTGACCTATAAGCCATTCAAGGCTGAGTCAACCTTGAGTTGACTACCTCAACTCATCAGGATCGAACTCAGGTTGTAAGCAGAGGCTTGAATGCAATACAGCAGTTTAACCACTGTATCATGGGATTCCCCCCCTTCTCATGGTTTCTTAGGTATAGAATACAGTGGTGCCTCGACTTACATCAGTCCCGACATACAACCATTTGGAGTTACAACCAGCAGCTCCGGGCGCAAAATTTTGCTTTGACTTGAGACCGGAGCTTCGAGTTGCAAACAAAAGAGGCAGGGAAAAGAGGCGGGGAATTCAAATTACAGGACTAACCATTGGTCGGCGAAGAGCCTCTTTGTAGCTCTTTCGCCCCAATGGTTAGAGAGGGAGGGTCGGAGGAGGCTTTGGATTGCCTGGTGCTGCTTTCTGGTCCTAAGTACAGTTACTTTGTTTTGCAGGGTGGGTTTGGGTTGGGGGCGTATGTTTCTGTGTTGTGATGTTTTTTGGTGTATGTTTTTTTCCAGCCCCATTGCATTCCAATGGGGCTTGCTGTGTGTTGCTTTTTGTTTTTTCCTGGCGAGAATGGATTAATGGGGTTTCAGTGCATTTGTTTTTTGTTTTTTCCCGGTGGGAATGGATTAATGGGGTTTCAATGCATTTCAATGGGAAACGGTGCTTCGACTTACCAACCATTGCGAGTTATGACCATTCTTCTGGAACGGATTACATTCGTAAATTGAGGCACCACTGTACTCAGAAGTGGTTTATCAGTCCCTTTTTCAGGGCCAGGGCTCTGTTAGACTGAGCAGCTTGCCTCAGGCCACACAGGGTGTTTTCTTACAAGCCACAATAGGGAATCAGACTCCCAACCATCATTTAACTAGAGATACTGAGGTCTTAGTGTGTTTTCTTACAAGTCATAATAGGGAATCAGACTCCAAACCCTCATTTAACTAGAGATACTGAGGTCTTAGTGAACTTGGACCTTTTGCCTGTTATACCATTCAACTATAGTTCCTCTATTTCTTAAGATTTAGCAATGATTAAAATATATATTTGCAAATTTCAATATGAACTGACTTGATTCACACCTCAACTAACAGGCAGATTAGAATGTATTCATTTGTTGGGTTTTGCATTTCCTGGACTTTCTAACATGCTTCTCAAACTTTATTACAATATGCAATTTGAGGGACAATATATTTCAAATATATATTTTAAGTGTTAATGTTTGTAAGGCATAACTTTGGTCTTCTACTTATGGAAACAGTGTAAATTGGCCTGTTAGTGAAGAGATGTGGAAATTTCAAGAAGCAAAAATTGGCTAATACCTCCACAGCTGAAATTTAGTTAATCCAGTTTTGAAGGATTTGCCATCTGACCTATATCTTATTGTTACAGTATTGTGTTCATCACTATTTGTCTCTCTTTAAATCTCATCCTGCAACCCTGAGGAAATGCAGATAGGCTTTTTATCGCTCCTCCTGTATTGTTGGACATTACAGAGGGGTAACTGCACATTCAATATTGTATTTTCCAGCTTAACAAGCAGCAAAACCATATCATATTCTAATAGAGGTTTTGGGGTTGGGGATGACAAAGAATTCCTCTTTTTTTTAATTATCTGACACAGAACTGTAAAATGTTTTGTAGCCATACTGGCCATGACAATAGTTTGTAAAGTTTTTGTTTTATAATACGAGTGTTTTGATCTAATTGTCTTGTTTATCTGTGACATATTTGTTAAAGTATTATGTGCATTTTTTCTGGGAGGTTTGTATATGTTGGGTTTTTTTGTTTGTTTTTTCCCCCCGTGTCTAAATCACACTGGCCATGTGACCACGGAAAGATTGTCTTCGGACAAACGCTGGCTCTATGGCTTGAAGAGCGGGATGAGCGCCGCCCCCTAGAGTCGGACACGACTGGACAAAAATTGTCAAGGGGAACCTTTACCTTTACCTTTGTATATGTTGTACAGATTGCCAGCCTAATCTGAATCATACAAAGATGAGCTGTACTTTTTAAACCCATAGATAGAATATTAGCCAACTAAATAATGATTAATTTATTTACATTTTTAAATCTGAAACCTGGAATTACTCACTGCTTTGAATTCCATATTGCCTCCCATATGAAACTCAATTGTTTTGCCCATGATGAAAACTCCTTCATTTCCACGGACAATCGCGCGTCCATCAACCTTTATGTTTAGATCACTAGTAGCATTGCTGGTAATCTGAGAAGAGAGAATATATTTATACAAAACAATAAAAAAACAAAACACAATCTCAACACTAAACTTGTATTGATTAAACCACGCTCCTCAACTGTCTGAATAAAATGTACAGCAAATGTGACCTTCATTTCCACGGACAATCGCACGTCCATCAACCTTTATGTTTAGATCACTAGTAGCATTGCTGGTAATCTGAGAAGAGAGAATATATTTATACAAAACAATAAAAAAACACACAGTCTCAACACAAAATTTGTATTGATTAAACCACGCTCCTCAACTGTCTGAATAAAATGTACAGCAAATGTGAAAACTGTTTCACCGAAGTTGTAGTTCTGAATGTACTTATTTGCTGGTCACTCACATTGAACTTTGTAGGATTTAGTGTCCAGATTTTGTGCCTGGCTGGTAAATTCTAGGAGCTGTATTCCAAAAAGAAATACATATCTCTAATTTAGAATAACTGCTGTGGGTCTTTTAAAACTGTGTTGTTATTTGGTAAAAAAGGGAAACTATCTCAGTGGAATTTATTACAGTATTTTGTTGTAACTTCTGTTTGCTATCTTATTAAGACAGTAATCATATGCACATTTTCCTAAGAACACTAAAATCAGTGGGGCTTACTTTTGAATGAAGAAAACATGCATATGAGCAGGTTGTATGTATTAATTAACTTTTGTAACACTTGCAACAGGAAAATCAGCACTAATGCTATCTTGCAAAAATCCATTATGCACATATGATCACATCAATTCTCATCCTGCTCTTCAATACCTCCGTGACAAACAAATATGCTTCTGTAGTAACCTCTTCAAGCTTTTTCACACTCAGCAGAAAGTGGTCACCCTCTGCTGCTATATAGCCCAGCTTGTCTCATAACACAGCATAGTCTGTGTACATGTTTATCCATGGCACTGTTCAGGGTAAAGGTCTGGGGAAGATCTATTTTCTTTTTAAAGAACTTCTTTAACCAGGGCTCATCAGTGCAACAAGCAGGCCAATGATTTCTGTAAGGATTTCTTTTTTAAAATAAAGGAAAGAAGATCAATCAGCTCCTTTCCCACTGTCTGGTCACGCTCTCTCTCCCTACCAACTACCTCTCTTCAGTGCCTACATTTAGATTTTTTTTAGGAAGGCATTTTTTTATACAAAAGATTGAGCAAAGGGCAGAGCAGAAATTCCAGCAACATCAGCCATTTTCTCCTGTTGAGAGTACTCTGGAAATGAAGATTGTGAGGACAATTGGAGTTTTGCTTCATTGTACACCCAACTTCCTCTGCAACAAGTTGTTCTTAATATAAGAAACTAGATGCATCTGTCTTCAAAAGCACCTGGACCTGTGACCCATACACAAAACTTAATGGTACCAATAAGAGATCTCCACTATGTTCAGCAGGCCAAGAAATGTTGGCAACATTACAGTATGCAAGTACAGTGGTGCCTCGCTTAACGAGCGCACCATAGAACGACGATTCCGCATAGCGAGGGTTTTTCGATCACAACTGCGATCGCAATACGATGGCCCCAATGGGCGAAACTCGCATAGCGAAGGTCGGTAAGCGTTTCGCTTACTAACCTTCGCTTTGCGACCCGCGGATCAGCTGTTTGGCGGCTCCAAAATGGCCGCCGGAAGCCCCGAAATGGGCGCGCGCAGTGTTTTCGCGCCCTCAGTAAGCGAGGGGAGGGTGCGAAAATGGCTGTCGGCCATAGGAAAACATCGCTGAACGGTAAGTTTTCGGCCCATTTGGAATGCATTAAACGATGTTTAATGCGTTCCAATGGGTTTTCTTGATCCGTTCAGCGATGTTTTCACATAGCGAGGGTTAATCTGGAACGGATTAACCTCGCTATGCGAGGCACCACTGTATATCTTAGACTGCTATTGAGTGTGCACAAACATAAGGAATTAGTTAGCCAGATGATTTAAATGAATCCTTGCCGCAATGCAAATAGGATTACAGTACAAATTTTATCTCTACACTATACATTATATAACATATAGATGTCATTAAGTGGTCAAAGATGATTCATACCCTCTCAGTAGATGCTTTTTGGACGTTCAAAATTTTTACTCCACTTGGCAAATGAAATTCATGTGTGTTATAGTCTGTGCTGAATAAAGTGTTCTGAGTCCTTGGGTCGATAAACTCCATCCCAATATCGCTGGTAATTGATGTCTTATTCTTTTCAACACTGAGTTTTGTGTCCCCTTGCTGAAACACAATCTTCAGAAAGAAATCAGATATGGTGTGTTACACTAAATATAGGCAATTTACTACTATACCACCACTCTATCACTTTTAAGGTGTTTAGTTGGTACTGTTGTTTGATGTCAGCAAGAGAATTTATATTTTATCTTCATAGAATCATAGAAAAGTGAGGTTGGAAGGGGCCTACAAGGCCATCAGGTCCAACCCCCTGCTCAGTGCAAGAATACAATCGAAGCATATCTGTCAGGTGATTATCTATGTTTTACTTGAATGCCTCCAGTGTTGGAGCACTCACCAACTCCCGAGGTAACTGGTTAGTGCTCTAACAGTTAGGAAGTTTTTCCTGATATTCAACCGCAATCTGGCTCCTTTAACTTGAGCCCATTGTTGCATGTCCAGCACTCTAAGATGATCAAGAAGAGATCGTGCCCCTCCTCTGTATGACAGGCTTTCAAATACAGTGGTGCCCCACATAGTGAGGTTAATCCGTTCTGGCTTAACCTTCGCTATGGGGAAACATCGCTAAACGGAACGGAAAAGCCCATTGGAACTCACCAAACTCACCGTTGAGCGAAGTTTCCCCATCCGGCCGCCATTTTCGCGCCCTCAGTAAGCGAGGGCAGGGCGCAAAAACGCTGCGCGCAGCCATTTTGGGTGTTCCGGCGGCCTTTTTGGAACCGGCGATCAGCTGTTCCCCCGACATCACAATGCGAAGATTGGTAAGCGAAATGCTTACTGATAGTCGCAAAGCGATTTTTGCCCTATTCAAACATCGGTATGTGATCGCATTAGCGATTGCAAAATCTGCATCGCTATGCGGATTCATTGTTAAAAGGTGCACTCGTTATGCGAGGCACCACTGTATTTGAAAAGTGCTATCATATCAGCCCTCAGTCTGTTTTTCTCAAGGCTAAACATGCCCAATTCTTTCGGCCTTTCCTCACAAGGCTTGGTTTTCAGCCCCCTGATCATCCTTGTTGCCCTCCTCTGAACTTGTTCCAATTTGTTAGCATCCTTCTTGAAGTGTGGTGTCCAGAACTGCACACAATAATCAAGGTGAGTCTCAACCAGTGCTGAATAGAGGGGGACTAACACCTTGCATGATTTGTAAACTATAGTTCTATTAATGCAGCCTAAAATAGCATTTGTCTTTTATTTACCTAATTTAAAATGTACAGTACATCAAAGATTCTTTTATCAGTAAATGCAAGGTACTTCGTAACAAAGAGGAGGGGGGAGAATCAACTAAATAAATACTGAATCAACAGTTTTTAAAATATATGTATAAAAGGAGAGAAAATAGTACATCCCAGCAGCTTGAACATACAGCAGAAACAGAAAGGTTTCATGTGAACTAAAACAAAAACAAACCACCTGGTTTTTTTTCATCTAGTGCCTGGAAATATGTCAAAGCTGGGTGGGAGAAAAACATTCCACAGCATTTTTGGCATCACAGAGAAGAGCATGTTCTTCACAGACTCTCATCCAATGGGTACATGGAGCAAGATATCAGGTGCTGAGCAGAGTGCACAAGGGAATGCATACTTACTGGTTGATTTTCCCCAACAATCACTAAATCTTCATTACGTCGGCCTCCCACTGTGCTTTTATACAATGGATGGATAATTCCCATGTCAGAGTCCTGTTTAAACCGCAATAAGCCGCTTTCATGAAATTCCATGCTATCACAGCCATTGGGCCCAATGCGAATCACAGCCCAGATGATAAGTGTGATCTAAAGAAAGGAAACCAAAGATAAATAACATTTGAAAAGGGAAAGAAAAATGTTCTTAGTTTTAGGTGGATACAAGTTGTAGCCCACCTCCCATGAAGGCCAGACTGCTAGAGGCCCAATTAGCCTTTCAATAAGATTTTCTGGCCTGCCTGGGATTGCAGATAACAAACAGGCAAGTTTCTAAACACATGGCTGGCTACAGTACATAACTGGCAGACTGGGCTTCACTTGGTGGATCATAAATTGTATAGTCTTGTTAAAGAAAAGTACTCTAGTGGATATGAAACAAAATTCAGAAAGAAACATTACAACTGCAGATGTAATTGATCTCAGAAAATTTACTTTTGAGTAAAATGCCTATGATGGCATGTGATTCTGAACCATCACTGTTTAAAATACTGAAAGTAGCTCCAGAGCATATGCACAGGACAAACAAAAGCACCGCCATGTTTTAAGAAAGCTACTCGGTCAAGGATGACTCTGAGTCTGAAAGATATAGGCTTTCCTTTTCAATGGGGTACTAGTACACAGAGTAAAAAGAGCAGACGAGCCCTCCCCATCCATCCCACACACCCCAGTTCTTCCAGCTCCAGGAAAGTATCTCCAGGGGACTTAATGCAACTACTTTAATGTTCGTTTAAATGTATGGTTGTGTTCTATTTCGGGCAGGGCAGATGATCTCCAGCTGTAATTTTCAGGCGCTTACACAGAGGGAGGACAAAATACCTTGTCCCTTTTGTGTCCATATAGTCTTAATTCCAAGAAAATGTGCATACGACTGACTGCAGGTTTAGTTAGTTCTGAGAGGCCTCAGCTACAAAAGCAGTTTTTTTTCCCTTTGGCTTGATGTCCTGTACTGCCTGTCTTGATTGCTGGTGGGGGCTATTTACACAAAATTCTTGATCCATTTTACCTAATAATTTGGGGTGGAGGTCAACACCTAGCCTAGTTTTGGTGGGGCCTTAAGTTGGCTTGGGTATGTCGTGAGAATGGCTGACGGTCGGATTCCAAAAGATCTTCTGTATGGGGAATTAGTGCAGAGAAAGTGCCCCAGAGAGAGACCACAGCTGCAATACAAGGATATCTGCAAGTGGGATCTGAAGGCCTTAGGAATGGACCTCAGCAGATGGGAAACCTTAACATCTGAGTGTTCAGCCTGGAGGCAGGTGGTGCATCATGGCCTCTCCAATTTTGAAGAGACGCTTGTCCAGCAGGCCGAGGCAAAGAGGCAGTCATGAAACCAGCAAAATCGGGGAGCTGGACAGGGGATAGATTGTATTTGTCTTCAGTGTGGGATTGTCACTCTCGAATTGGCCTTCTCAGCCACACTAGATGCTGCTCCAAGTCCTCCATACAGAGCACGTTATCATAGTCCAGTGGTGGCGAACCTTTTTGGGCTTGCGTGCCCAAACTAGGGCGGGAAAAAAACAGCAGGCAGCATGCCACTGCTGCGGTGGAACCAGAAGTGGCAGCAGAAGGGGGAATCCAGCATGGAGGTGCATCAAGACTCCACTCCGGATCCACTGCCAGAACCGCATGGAGGTGCATCGAGACTCCACTCCGGATCCACTGCCAGAACCAGCTGCTCCAGGTCTTCCTACCGAAGTGCCAGCACCGCGGCTGCAGCTGCTTTCTCAGGTCTGGCTGGGCGCAGGGGGAGTAGTGATCTGGCGACTTATGGCTCACGGGCTGGCAGAAAGGGCTCCGTGTGCCAGCTGTGGCATGCGGGTCATAGGTTCGCCCTCGCTGCTAGTCTCTTGAGAATGAAGGATGCCTAACCTAATCTAAGTCCCACCACCACCATTGTTCCAGGATCCATGATAGTTACATTGCATAGTTTAGTGCTATACAATGTAGTGTGTGCTTCTATATATCTACTGCTTTGGAAATGAGCAAAAAGTTGTGGTAGAACTTACATCTTGCTTGTGGGCTTCCCACAGACAACTGCTTGAACAGAATAACGGACAAGACAGGCCTCTGGTCTGATGTAGCAGGACCTTTCATATAGTCTCTAATTTCCTCTGTTCTCACTCTCTTGGTCTTTCTCTGTTCTTTTCTCTATATCCTATTCTCTTCTCCCTCCCACTTTGTCACCTCTGCTATTCCCCCCACTCATTTTACATCACTGTATGTGAAAGAAAGAAGACATGCACCGAGGCAGAGGGAAATTGGGGCACTCCTTACCCAGACCACTTTTTGAAAAATCACAAAAGTGGCCAAAGCACCAAAAAGGCTCTGGGTGCTTAGCATAGCGCAATGAGTAAGATCTTGATCCATGTATTCAATCAATGAGCTAGGCAAGTTTATAATTTTTATCTAGTAAGTACTCATTAAATGCCAACATAACCAAAATCCTTGACTTGTTGGTATACTTACAATCAAATTGATGACTGCCAAGATAAAAAGAAGGATAATCACACAAATAGCCAAGTTGCCCTTCCTGCCTCGCAAACCAGTCTTGTGTAGACGATCTTCATCAATTGGAATATATCCAGCCTTGAAGTTACTGTTGTGCTCTTTGTTAATATTCCTCCGCTCCACAGCCTTCTCACGCATTGACTTCTTCACGGGACCATTAGAGCTTTGCTAAAATTCATTCAAACAATACATTAAGTCCAACATACCTCATTTATAATGGATTTCGTATGAAATTTAATTTCTACCAAAATATGATAATCACAGTATGTAGCATTAAAAACCCAACCAGTAGAGAGAATGTGTACTTCTGAAGTATCAGAGTCTGGAATCCTGTTGCACAGCTCCATGTGTACAATGGAGATGGCATCAGAGCAGTAGAATCACTAACTAAAGGCAATTCTGGACTATGTGTGACTTGTATACAATGCAGTGGTCTATATCTCAAAATCCCCAAAGGAAGCCTTTAATCAGTGGCAATTTGTCTCTGCTGCTAACATCACTATGCACACTTGGGGCTGTAACAAGATTTCAGCCACTGTTTTAGACATCATCAAGAACAGGAAAAAAATGTGTATGAGTGAGTAAGCAAACAAACAAACATTTGAGATAGCTCTAGGATCATGAAGCCCAGACATCTGACACCTGGGATGGATACTATGGGGACTGTGACGATATGCAACAACCAGCCTAACTAATTTTAGTCGATTAAAACCTTCTGAAGCCCACAATACTTTTCAATGACAGGCAGCAGGGCTTTTCAAGACTGGAGATCTCCTCAAGCCTTGAGGCTTGGTCCAAATGTCTGCAGCTGGTTCCAGGCGGGACAGAGAAGGCACTTAAATGCTGGAACAACATGGGTCCCAGTTCTCTGTAACTAAATTGCCTAGTGAATGTTGCCTGTTCCCAACTCCAATTACACACAGAGTAATATATACCGGTATTACACATGGAACAAATGAATGAGAATTTGTATTTAAATTTCTGCTGCTTCATATATGGGAGAAAGAGATGTCAAATGAACACCCAAGGATTTTATGGATTTAGAGGCAGAGGCAAACAACCTGAAGAATAAAGAGTAGAAGGTGCAGTTGTCATATTGACCATCTGGCCTGATTTCCCCTGCATTCTACCATGCAATGTGCTGCTTGTTTACACCACTACTTAGTCTAAGTTTCCAGCTTTAAAAAATCTATTCCAGTAGAAGCTGAGCTATGAAGCAAAACATACTGTTATTATTCTGCTTATGTCCTGCAAGAAAGGCTAACACTTTTCAGTCTGTTTAGTAAACCATTTGGAACCTGGATACCTGTCAGAGCATCTCTTCCAAACAACTGCTACTCATGACACCCGTGTCTTGTTGGTATAGGTGCCTATATCAAAGGAGGCTTGCAAGATGTCAATTAGGAACTGGGCCTTCTCAGTAGTGGCCCCATCTTTGTGGAACTCACTACCATCTGAGATTCACCAGGCCCTCTTCCTCCAGGACTTTTGTAAGTTAGCGAAGACAGGGGCTTTAGGTTGAGGGAAACTGACACCCCATGCTTCAGATCAAATGATCACACTGGCAAAAGTGGACATAAGTGATGTCAAACTGATCAAAACAAGTTTAAACCATTCCTGCCAGCTGAAAAAAAAGATTCCCCACTCAAACAACAACAACAATAATTCCACAATAGGTTTCCCCACATTCAGCTTTACTTTGTGTAGTCACCAGATTTTCAACTGAATACATCGGTGCCCAATCCAATGTAAACTGTGGTATAAATGGTCAACGTAATTGCTCTCTCAGGCAGAGCTGGAATAGATTCAATGAGTACCGGGGTGGAGAAATCAGCATGATGAAAAGAGCAGAGAGACATGCAGAACATTATGGTGAAGTTGGGACTCATGAGGTTTTAAATCAGAAAGCTGAGCTATCTGTGCTTGAACACAGTACTAAAATTTTTATATGTACCTTGTTTGTGTCCTTCATACTTTCAAGATCATGAAACCTCCTAAAAACAGACGGCTGAATTAACCTAAATTAAAATCTATCTGTCACCTGCAGATGTGAAGCTCCTTAGAATATGATAACTCCTGATAAGCAGGGGATTCCTCAAAAGCAGAGAGCCTTGAAGTTTGGTCCAAATGAGTGTACATGGTTGTGGGTAGGGATTGAGAAGCAACCTATTTCATCCTTCACTTCTGATCTTCCTCACTGCTGAACCAAAAGGCTCCACTTCTATGCAAACCACTTGCCTGATGAACCCTGCCTGTTAATAATCTTAAGTACATTTATATTTCTAAATATTTAAGAACTTTACTTACATAAATACAATACTAAAAGAACCGACTCAGGTCAACATGATTGTTCCCATCTTCCTAACAGAATGTCAGCATAGCCACTGTTGAGCAGACTTTGTTTGATTGTACTTCACTGGGGGTGGGATAGCAAAGTTTGGTGTGGAAAAAAATACTGAGGGGAGGGTGAAGACATTAGATAACAACAACAAAAGCAACAGCAACAGCAGCAGCAGCAGCAACAACAACAACAACAACAACAACAATAATAATAATAATAATAATAATCTTGAGAGTCCCCTGCACTGCAAGGAGAACAAAACTATCCATTCTAAAGGAAATCAACCCTGAGTGCTCACTGGAAGAACAGATCCTGAAGCTGAGGTTCCAGTACTTTGGCCATCTCATGAGAAGAGAAGACTCCTTGGAAAAGACCTTGATGTTAGGAAAGTGTGAAGGCAAGAGGAGAAGGGGACGACAGAGGATGAGATGGTTGGACAATGTCATCGAAGCTACCAGAATGAATTTGACACAACTCCGGGAGGCAGTGGAAGATAGGAGGGCCTGGCATGCTCTGGTCCATGGGATCACGAAGAATCGGACACGACTAAACGAAAGAACGTTACTTACATAAATACAATACTAAAAGAACCGACTCAGGTCAACATGATTGTTCCCATCTTCCTAACAGAATGTCAGCGTAGCCACTGTTGAGCAGACTTTGATTGTACTTCACTGGGGTGGGGTAGCAAAGTTTGGTGTGGAAAAAAATACTGAGGGGAGGGTGAAGACATTAGATAACAACAACAAAAGCAACAGCAACAGCAGCAGCAGCAGCAACAACAACAACAACAACAACAACAATAATAATAATAATAATAATAAATACAGGGACAAGTTAATTCCAGCTTATGATGACCCACTCTATGGTCTTCTAGGTATAGAGTACTCAAAAGTATTTTACCATTCCCTTCTGCTGCTGGTGCCGAAACTGTGCACCTTGCCGAACCAGCACTACACAAACTGACTTCTTCTAGTGAGAGGCAGCATAGGGAATTGAACTTCCAACCTCTTTTCTCTTGGTACCAACTAACTGAGCTATACAGCCAGCAGCAACACTGACTAGCAGATGAGAAAAGAAATTGTTGCAAATGATGTTAAATTTGGGGAACAGACTGAGGAATGCCCCTGTGATTTCTACAAGGATGTTATTTCTATGTACAAAAAAGGATATGTGTGTCTTTGTTTGGCTGTATGCACATATTAACAGTGGGGCCCAACAATCCTGTAATTTTTCTTCTGCAACTATTTTTATCATAACCATGCTGTATGTAGAAGTTGCTAAGAGATAAATCTAATGGTTAGTCTCAGTGTAAACGTACTGAATGAGACTTTGCTAAGTTAACATATATGCAAGTATCATGGATACTGCGGGTGTGCTCTAGGCAAGACTAATAATTACATTTAGTCCACAGAGCTAGCTATAAGCCAACAGCTGGCATAAACATTTGATTGGGACTTGGGAGAGGGCCTTCTCTGTTGCTGCTCCCTGACACTGGTAATCCTTTTCATGGGAGGTCAGGCTGGCCCCATCTTTGTAACTCTGGTAGTCCTTCTCATGGGAGGTCAGGCTGCCCCATCTTTGCTGTCCGCCCGCAGAGATTAAGATCTTTCTCTTCAGGCAGGCTTTCCTTGTTTCTTTGAATGCATTTTGGTGTTGATTTTGTTTAACATTTTTAGTGAGATACTTATTTGATTCTTTTTGAATATTTGTATACTTATTATTTCTTTCACTTCTAAATATTGTTAGTCCTTCTCATGGGAGGTCAGGCTGCCCCATCTTTGCTGTCCGCCCGCAGAGATTAAGATCTTTCTCTTCAGGCAGGCTTTCCTTGTTTCTTTGAATGCATTTTGGTGTTGATTTTGTTTAACATTTTTAGTGAGATACTTATTTGATTCTTTTTGAATATTTGTATACTTATTATTTCTTTCACTTCTAAATATTGTCTTTTAAAGATGTAAGCCGCTTTGGGTCCTTTCACTTCTAAATACTGTCTTTTAAAGATGTAAGCTGCTTTGGGTCCTTTTTAAAGAGAAAGGCAGAGTAAAAATGTTTTGAATAAAATAAATAATACTATCCTCAGTACACCTAATCACAAATCAATGTCAAGCATTCAAACAAGTATAAGATGGACGTGGTGGTGCTGTGGGTTAAACCGCAGAAGCCTCTGTGCTGCAAGGTCAGAAGCAGTCGTAAGATCGAATCCACGCGATGGAGTGAGCTGCCGTCACTTGTCCCAGCTCCTGCCAACCTAGCAGTTTGAAAGCATGTAAAAATGCGAGTAGATAAATAGGTACCACTCGGTGGGAAGGTAACAGCGTTCTGTGTCTAGTCGCGCTGGCCATGTGACCATGGAAACTGTCTTCGGACAAATGCTAGCTCTATGGCTTGGAAACATCCATGAGCACCGCGCCCTAGAGTCCAACACGACTGGACTAAACGTCAAGGGGAACCTTTACCTTTTAAGATGAAATTCTAGGAATAGTCTGAGAATTGAAAGAGGCCAAGAGCCTCACTGTATAGCATCCTATTTGTTAAAAATCTAACAAATGACATTTTATAAACAGCCTAATCAACCACAGAAGTGAATTGTCTATGAATTAAGAATGCATGTATGAACTCTTTAACACGCGATGGAGTGAGCTGCCGTCACTTGTCCCAGCTCCTGCCAACCTAGCAGTTTGAAAGCATGTAAAAATGCGAGTAGATAAATAGGTACCACTCGGTGGGAAGGTAACAGCGTTCTGTGTCTAGTCGCGCTGGCCATGTGACCATGGAAACTGTCTTCGGACAAATGCTAGCTCTATGGCTTGGAAACAGCGATCAGCACCACGTCCTAGAGTCGGACACGACTGGCCTAAACGTCAAGAGGCACCTTTACCTTTTAAGATGAAATTCTAGGAATAGTCTGAGAATTGAAAGAGGCCAGGTGCCTCACTGTATAGCAGGGGTCTCAAACATGTGGCCCAGGGGCCATTTGCGGCCCCCCAGATGATAGTTTGTGGCCCTTGCCTTGCCTGCCCCCCCAAAGCGCCCACACATCCTCTGCTGTCGAAAATCTGATGTGGCCCAGCTTCACCCAGACTTTGTCTCTAGCGGCCCCCAGTTAAATTGAGTTTAAGAGCCTCACTGTATAGCATCCTATTTGTTAAAAATCTAACAAATGACATTTTATAAACAGCCTAATCAACCACAGAAGTGAATTGTCTATGAATTAAGAATGCATGTATGAACTCTTTAAAATAAAAGCTATTTTTAAAAAGAGTTGGATTATCTAAAGGCAAATAAAGTTTTATCTTCTCTGCATGTTTAAAAAATACAGAGCCTCACTGTATAGCATCCTATTTGTTAAAAATCTAACAAATGACATTTTATAAACAGCCTAATCAACCACAGAAGTGAATTGTCTATGAATTAAGAATGCATGTATGAACTCTTTAAAATAAAAGCTATTTTTAAAAAGAGTTGGATTATCTAAAGGCAAATAAAGTTTTATCTTCTCTGCATGTTTAAAAAATACAGTTCTATGGGTGTCCTAAAAATGCTTTCAAAGAGGAGGAATCGCAATTCCAAAGAACGATTGTCAGGTTAACCCCTTCGTTCCTTCTTTCTTGGTTAAAATTTTCACATTTAGATAGTACTATTTGAGATTTCCCCCTCCGCGCCTGGTCTCGACGCCACTCAGACTGGCGTACTGTATATAAAACCGGTAAGGCAGACGAAACGAGGTTCGGTTTCTCCCGCGCGCATGCGCTGCCGGATAGATCATGAGGTATTTCGGAGTGTCTCCATGCACAGTATGCTATTTTGGTTCTAACGGGGACGATCGCAATCTCCGCGCACGTTTCCCTTGCAAAGAAATCCTACTCGACTCCAGCGGGGCGTGGCTCTCAGTAGACAAGCAGAGCGCATGCCAGCCTGCCAGTCAGCTTACACGGGTTAACTGGGTTAAACACGCACGCACACCATACACACACAATACGGAAAGCGGCACTTATAAGGACAAATGCGGTTGTACGATAAATATCACAGAGAATGAGTGTTTACAGGGAGGGAAATGGCGCTGCAACGAGGAGCCTCCCTCGAAGCTGCTCGCCCGCCTGCCCGCCCGCTTGAGAAAGGGCGGGCACCGACCGCTGCAGAGCCTGCTCTCCGGTTCGCTGCCAGGCTCTCCCTGGGACCTCAACAACGCCCTGCCCCACCTTCCCTCAACATGCTCGGCTGTGAGAGAAACCCAGGCGCCCGCAGCTGCTCCGCCACCGTCTTTGCGCCAGACTGGCAACCTAACGGGTCTGCCGTCTTCTTCGGAGAGGCGGCTTCCCTTCTCCTCGCCCGGCTTTGCAGCAGAATATACGTATCCGGACCCCGAGCAAAGCACAAGCCTCTGCCCCTCCCGGGCCCGCCTGAGCCACCCTTTCTTTCCCGCGCCATCCTGCCAGGAACCAGCCCAGGCAGGGCGACCGACCTGTTCGGATGCGGTCGGCGTCGCGGCAGCCACCGCCATCTTTTCGGGTCCTTCCTTTCCTTACCCAGAAGGGAGAGCGAGAGCCTTCGTGCCGAGCCTCTCACTGAGGCACTGGCATGGGATCCTCCTCCGGCCCGCACCCGTCATGCCCAATTATTAGGAGACGACGCCGGGGGAGGAGAGGGGAGGAGAATCCCCGACTCGGTCAGGAAAAAGGCCTCCTCTTTGGCCGAAATCAAAGCAGCGCAGTCAGTCTTGAAGGGAGGGAGGCCACAGAGCGATCGTCAGCCGGTAAAGAGTAAAGCAAAGCGGGATTGGGGAGAGATATTGTGTCTACACGGACTCAATGTCTGATTTCCCCAGAGCATGACAGCTTGCAGGGTGGTGTTTCTCTCACATTCCCCACCAGTATCTCTTGTGTTAAACGAGAAGCGAGAAACCTGTGGTGACAAACTACTAACCCCATCATCCTCTGATATTGGCCAAACTGACCAGACTTCGTGGAACGGAGTATCAAGCAACAGGGCAAGACTATTACTGCCGCATGATGAATTCTTACCCAGCATACTCTTCCAAAAGGTGGTTAATTTACTATCAGTGTTTGTAGGATTGTCACTCTCGAATTGGCCTTCTCAGCCACACTAGACGCTGTTCCAAGTCCTCCATACAGAGCACGATACCATAGTCTCTCGGGACTGAAGGATGCCTAATCTTGTTTGTAGGAGGAAAATGCCCCTTAGGTTACAACTCAGGTGTAAGAATAAAATAATCACTGCATGGGCTGGTGCTGTGCAAGGTGCGCCATATGTAATACACAGTCAAGGCCGTTCTCAAAAGGGGGCAAGTCAGACTGAAAAGGATGGAGAGTGTACAGTATTTTTAATACATTTTGTTGCAGTGAACTTTACATATAAATCAAACAAAGGCTTTAAAGTGGCTGTTCCCTCTCATAAGTAGGCACTCTGTGTGTAGCAGTCAAGAGAGACAACACTTTTCTTGTGTGGTGTTGTATGGAATGCCTTCCTGAGGAATGGCAGTTGGCTCAGTCATCCGTTTTATTTATGGGGTAGACCAATATGATTCAGTTCTTTTAATTGAATCTGTAGTTTGTAGCATCTTAATTAATTTTTTGGTGTGGTCTTTTTTATAGCGCCTGTTGCACCTTCCAAATTATTGTGCAATTTTCTTTTAATGATCTGTTATTCTAATTTCTAAGCAGCCTTGTGGATAAAAAAGTAGAGTTCATATGATTTGATAAATAAATAACAGCAGAGAAAATAGAGTTTTGTTGCACTTCAGAGACGAGTAAGTTTATGGTGCCATAAGCTTTTCTTAAAGTCAGTTCCTATTTTATTAGTAAAACATTAAAGTTTGAAAAGTATTGTTATTTGATCACTTATCTTCATCTGTTGCAATTATTTCTGTTGTGCTTCTCAAAATACTTTCCAGATGTTTAAAGTAAGGAATTGGGAGTGTAATTGTTTTTTGCTGTCACTGAATATTTAGGTCTCAACCTCTTGGCTGGACAGTGCTGTTATTTTTAGCAAGTTGTCCAAAATATTTTAGTTTAGGATGACTAAAATACTGCATTGTCAGGGTAGTCACTTCCTGACCCTTCAGATATTGAGTGACACACTTTACAGCAGTATTGAAAGAGAAAGGCATTTTTCCAGCAAGTCAAAAGAGTCTTGTGGCATCTCTAAGACTTTGAGACTAATATATTTATTTGTTCCCACCTAGAGGTGTGCAGAAATGTGTTTTTGGACTACAGCTCCAAGTTTTCTCCATGCAGCTATGCTACCTGGAGAATTCTGGGCAATATGATCCAAAAAATAACATCGCCCCGGTCTCACCAACAAATCTGCAGACCTCTTTCCATCAGAACTCATCACCAACCAAGTTGGCTAGGGCTGAAGGGACTTTTACAACATCTAAGGACCATTCAGGTTGCTCAGCTAAGGCAGGTGGTTCACTGCTCTAAGTCTTAAGATGGCATTGTGCATGGTGACTGAGGATGATGGAAGCTATAGTCTATCCACATGTGGGGATCCAAAATTGGAGCCGTTGAACTAGATGAGGTTCCTTTTCCCATCCATCTCACTTCCCTTCTTTCAACACAAACATGTGGAGTGGGAGTCAAAAATGTTTGCAAAAGCGGCTGCCCTCAACACCTGGCCATACAAAAAAGGCCAGTTGGGACTTATGTCGTCCTATAAAATTAGCCTCTCCCGTGCCTAACAACTGGAGTGTTTTGTGGATGCGCTGCACTTCTCATGCAAGTTCAAAACCTTGAAGGAAGGTGACTTAAAATCTCAGCGGAGGGAGAAGGCGCCAATTGAGGGGGAAACCATGCGGGAATCTGGCGGTTCGTCAGGAAAATCCCACCCTGAAAAAGCTTGGAGGCGTCGTTTTACGTCCTGGGCGCGACTGCTTCTGCTTTCTCCATCGGATCCGAAGAGAATTCACACAGGATCCCTTCTCCCGGGCTCGTTGAGTTTAGTTCGAGAGGAGGAATGCAAGGGCAAGACAAAGCAAAGGGAGGAAGGTCTTCTCGGCGTTGCTACAACCAAAAGGCTCGCTTCGCGCAGCCGTGGCGTCCCTGGCACCCAAGCAAAGCAAACGTCAGTTTGTTTAACAATCGCCGAGTATAAAATGCTCCAATCAACGAGGAGGCTTGCGGCGGGGGAAGGAAAGGCGAAGCTTAGCGAAAGGCCAGCACAAGTTGAGGATATTTCCTCGCCGATCTCCCCCCCCCCACACGTCTGGTTCCCTGGGGTGGCTCAAAAGCAAAATACACGGGGAGGAGAAAGATCGATGCTCATGGTTTCCTTGGAAGAAAAACACCCCCGCCCCAAAGCCTAGATTCTCTTTCCACCCCTTCATTCTCTACCTCTGGGAGCTATGGCTGATAGCTTGAGGCGATTAGTCCACAACGAGTCGTGCAGGATTTTACAAGAGAAGCTGGAGAGTTGGTATAAAGATTATCACGTGAGTGTGCCGCAACGCGTGGTTGATAAAGGTTTGTTGTCCTCCAGCAGAATGGATGCGAAGGCAGTGTCCTTGCTGTGCTGTTCCATCTTGTAACGCACCGTGGAATCTTTACTAGACATTCTTTCAAAGATTAAATGTTTTCACTTACTTTTAGTGTATGTGATTAAAACAAAGCACTCAAGAAAGTATTGTGACACTAAGTCAGTTGAGCTTTCATGTACTGTATTACAATTCACTTGTTTCTAAAGACGTGGATTGTAATCCAAGAAAGCTGACAGTGAAATAAATCTGTTGCTCTTTAAGATACCACGATACTTTGTTTTCATTTATTTATTTTTGCTTTTTTTTGTTAATTGTCAGAGTATTTCACTGTTGTCTTCGCATTACAACTGCAGCTTGTCAAGTTCTAAATTGTCCCTTAAAAAAGCAATCAAGATCATTTGGAAAACGAACCTTTCGATCACTTGAGGATCTAAATGTAAGAGATTTAGCATTGAAATCAAACCCGGAATTGTGAATTCATGGTGTTGCTCCCATAAGAGACGTTTATGGTAGAAGAAGAAGCTGCATTTGGTGGCTTTAATGATGTGTTGGAGACCTCTAGTGATTTCCTGGGAAGTTTTCCCTGGAAAACAGTAACTAAGGACGCTAGTTTTCAGCTCCAAGTAGATAGGCACACTGTTGTGGTTTCCACAGTTACACAACCTAGCAGGACTATGGTACAGGCGGAAGGTATTAAGAGAATAGGAGTGTTTTGCAGAGCATTGTTATACTGAGCCTCTCCTGTTCTTGCCTGCCAGTTTGTGAGTACTGTAGTTCCCCCCCCATTAGTATAATAAACCTCATTTTCCAAAATAAGCTCACACTATGTTGAAAAAATTTCTATTTCTGTTGCAGAAAATTGTCATGGGGCTCATTATTTATTATTTGTCCTTTAATATTGAAATTGTGCTATTATGTAGAATGTTATGGATCTCACACATTAGAATTCTTTTCTTTCTTACATTTTTATTCTGGTACTCCTCCAAGTTGCTCAGGCCTGTTTGCTTTAAGTTTATCCTTACAAGACCTCTGCAAGGTAGGTTAAGTTGAAAAATATCCATTAGTCAAGATCATCTAGCGGGTTGGAATTGTGTCCCACCCAAGACTGGAAATAATAACAACAACAGTGCCATCAAGTTCAGTAGCTAGTGTGGTGCAATAGAATGATGGTCTACAACTCAAATATCTTGACCTTGGAAACTCCTTGGTAGGTGACAGTGTTACAAAAGCAGTTCCTAAATATCTCACACATTTTGGGAACCCTGGTAGGGTCACCATGAGTTGGAACTGATTTGATGGCACATAACATATATAAACACTGTCAAACCAATTCTGACTTACAGGTACCTCCACGTCCTGCAAAAAATTGCAGCTGTTCTGGCTACTATTGTAACTTCCACTAGAACATAATCTGTATACTGACATCATAAAGTGTATCTTGTTGTTTCTCCAGTGGCAACCACTTTATACTATATTCCTAGATGTGAGGGTTCAAATTTTACCTCCTCTAGTTTCAACAGAGACACTGGAGACACTCACTTTGGAAAATCAAAACTATGTCTTATTGGAACATGTAACAGCTAGTCCGTATGCTCAGACTCAACTTCTGCATTGCCTCTCGTCGCCAACGGGTCCCACAAGAGCCTCCAAAAGTCTTTATTAAAGGAGTTGCAGTTTAAGTCATTCCAAGGTCCCTTCGCAAATGGATTACTGCTTTCCATCTCAGCAGTTTCTGCCTCAGGGTTTAAGAACGGGGTAGTCTCTTCATCTCGCCCCTCCGACTCATAAGGATCTTCCTCTCCTCGAAGAGGGCCCCACGGTCCATCAGGTACCCCCTCCTCTGGGCTTCCTCCCGATGCCATAACCAGTGTTCCTTTTCCTCCCTTTCTACCGCCTCCTCTTCCCTGAGCCGCCTGCGCCACTCTCTGGCTTCTCACTCACCCCAGTAGGAAGGACATGGTGGCAGCCCCCCTTCTCCGTCTGTAATCAGCTTCTTCCCTGGGGACCTGCACCTTCTCCCATTTTCCAGTCCATGGGTCCTCTACCCATATCATTTCCTAACCCCCTGGTATTATGTCCACCTCCACTTTTATATCCCCCATTCCCACCTCTATGACGGACCCAAGACACTCCCAGTCTGAGTAGTCACTGTCATCTTTGACAGTTCCCGCTCTAATTCCTGTGTATCAACTCCCCGCAGTATACAGTAGTCTTGACAGGTGGTGTAGGCGGGTCTGTCTGCACCTCTTGTTCCTTTTTGAGGGAGGATGACACTCCGGCAAGAGCTTCTACCCTCTCGCCTTGCGTCTCACACGAGACCATACTGATTTCCTCCTCACAGTGTCATTTCTGCATTTTCGTTTATGAAAACTGAGGCTTGTTAATTTTTTGTATCTACACTATTTGAACATAGCTTTTGTTCAGCAGATTGCTGAACTATGATACAAAATCCTATTTTTAGTATGGGTTTAGAACCACATATGTATGGCAGTGCTTGATTACATTTGACGACTGATAAATGTGAACTGATACAGAAGAAAAGTTTTATGAGACAATATGACAGGGTTCTGTCTATGGTGCTGCACTTGTGATGGGTCATTCATACATATAAGTCATCATCTTAAAAATGAAATGATGAACATGCCTGTGTGTATGAAATTTAGCATCCAGCTCACAGGGTTGTCTTTCAGCGGGTTGTATACAGCGTACATTTAGTGCAAATACTTTCATCTGGATAGATGGATTTAAAATATTACACCTGATTAGACTTTGAATAAGTATAAATACTGCTTGGCAGTAGATCTTTTTAGTATACACATTAATAGAATGAGGAAAAATTAGGTGTAAACATAGTGTAACTGCAAAACTAAGGTGTAGACCAAAAGTAGTTTCCTCTGCCAAGCTTCTGGTTTATTAAGTTAAGGTATATCCAGATGGACCTTTTCCTCTGTAGTCTGCTGTGTTGGTACAATCTATGAACTATGACAGCTAAAACTATAATCCTTGAGTATTCATGCAAGAATACAGTTAAGGAATTGAAATCTTCCCATGAAAGTGAAAGCAGATTTAAGCTGAGTTGAACAACTTGTGACACACCAGTTGTGGTTGGACTGCAACTCTCACCAGTCCTTGACAGTATAGCTAATGATGGAAGATGCAGTCCAACGACTTCCTGAGGGCCACAAGTTGCTTATACCAGATTTAGATCTTCGTCCCTCCTTGCAAAATGAATGCAATATACCCTTGAAAGAAGTTACAGTAGAAGTAAGGCAAGTACAGTGAAGCAACATAGCCTGCCGGCAGGTTTTCTCACTAATATGCATACTGTTATTTAAAAGATACCATCTTGTGTTATATACATTAAAGAGTCCTCACATGGTTACTGAGGAGCAGAGCTGCATGATGTCCTGCCAGTCAACACTATAGAAATCCACAGGTAGCAATTCAGTGTGTGCTAATCTGTTTCTTTGGTCCCTATACTACTTATGTGGTGTTTCCCCCCTCCCTCTTGTAAACATCTGTTTAACTAATTTGTGGTTGTCAGGGGCAAGTCTGAGGAATTGCATGACTTGCAGTCCTGCTTCCTGGGGTGTCCCATACAGATTCCTTTATACTTATGCAATATGAATGGGGATAAAATTAAGAGCAGGTATATAGTGCATATACTGTATATGTTTCTGCTAGTTCAACTGGCATAGTACACCCCCCTCTGTAAATTTTAGTTTGGTGAGGATACAGAAACATTTCAGTTATAAAGGTTCACAGCTCCAGTGCTATCTTGGATGGTACTACTAGGACTAAACAGAATTCATTTACCATTCTTGGGCACTGGCATAGGGTGTAAACATAGTGTAACTGCAAAACTAAGGTGTAGACCAAAAGTAGTTTCCTCTGCCAAGCTTCTGGTTTATTAAGTTAAGGTATATCCAGATGGACCTTTTCCTCTGTAGTCTGCTGTGTTGGTACAATCTATGAACTATGACAGCTAAAACTATAATCCTTGAGTATTCATGCAAGAATACAGTTAAGGAATTGAAATCTTCCCATGAAAGTGAAAGCAGATTTAAGCTGAGTTGAACAACTTGTGACACACCAGTTGTGGTTGGACTGCAACTCTCACCAGTCCTTGACAGTATAGCTAATGATGGAAGATGCAGTCCAACGACTTCCTGAGGGCCACAAGTTGCTTATACCAGATTTAGATCTTCGTCCCTCCTTGCAAAATGAATGCAATATACCCTTGAAAGAAGTTACAGTAGAAGTAAGGCAAGTACAGTGAAGCAACATAGCCTGCCGGCAGGTTTTCTCACAGTGAAGCAACATATCCAGATGGCATGGGTGTTATGGCATCCTATGTATATACTGAATTATAGGGAATTATCCTATCTATTTACTGAACTATAGGGAATTCCATTCCATATAGGAAGAAAATTAGCTTCTGTCTTAATTGTAGTTATACTTCTCTAGATCATAGAACTGCATTCCTGGGGAATTACCATTAAACTAGGTCTGCTTCAATGGTCTGAGAATTTGAGAAGTGAAATTTTATAAAGAGGTAACATAAGGGAATACAATTTTCTGGGAGTTAACATGCTAGCATTCCAGTGATGGATCATGGGACTTGAATATAATGCACAAACTATTGTTTACTCGTAACAATACACACATGAAAGCTCTTTATTTTCTGCAAAGAAATGCTGTTTTCTTTGGTATTTTAATTTCTCTTTCTCACAAGCTAATGATGGAATGTTGGTATCCTTTTTGGTCTCAGAGAGCATGATATGCAGAGAAATTAAATTGCTGAAACTCAAATATGGGTTACTTTTTGTCATTGCAAGCCCAGCAAGTGGTTAGCTGGCTGGACAATTATTGCAGCTGTGCTCTTTAAAAAAATAAAATTTGATTTAAATTCAGAGTGAAAATGAGTAAAGAAGGAACAATGGATGCAAAATCAGAGTAACCAAAATGTTTCTGATTTTCAGATTAACTCATGTGATCAGAATTTGACTCGATGCTGTGAAGTCATGGAATTGAACTCCATGATCCAGGGGCAACTTTTCACAATCCTTAATCAAACATGCCAAGAAGGTGAGGCAGTTGCTCTGGGCTTTGTGTACAGGGGTAATGTGTAAATGTGCCTTGTAGGGCATGGCTTGCTCATGCACAAGCTTTTAAAGCATTTATTCATACATACCTTCTCTCTTTTTTAAATATTTTAATATTTGTTCACCCAGGTGGACATTATGCAGGTGTGGAAATAATAAAATCTCGTCTTCTGCCCTGGCTGGGAACTTGTTTTTCTAGTCCTGTTTCTGGAAGGCCATTTGAAACAAGCTCTTCTCTCTTGCAGGTACGATAAATAATTTTTAAAACCTTGACATAATGAGCAAACCATAAGTTTGAATGCTTTGATTTAGATACTGTTTTTATTTCTTTTCCCCTCCACTGCCTCATGAAAATTTATGCAGGGTTTTGAGCTGCTGTCAAGCTTATAAAAAGAGAATCATGTAGTAAATGCATGCTCCACAAAGATGTCATTTTACAGCACTTTTTACATTTCAAGGGAGATATCGTGTTATAAGCAGTTCTTAAACCATTTGATTAGTCAGTGAGCCACTTTATTTCCCCCCCCAACAACGGATGTAAATACTTTTGATGATCAAAGACATAATTGTTTGTAGAAAGCTGCTATGCTAGATCTCTGTGGCTGTGTTGTATTTTTGTTGAGCGCTTTAATGGGGAAAGTGCCAGTACAACTTGAGGAAGCAGATACGAGAAGCGGCTAGTTTTTGGAGTGTCATTGCTTAATCTGCACTGCGCAGTTCCATTTGGGTAATATAGTTAGCACAGAATTAAGACCATATTACTTCAGGATGTAAGACAAGGTTATGCAAGTAAATACTTTTGCATCCCACATTTTAAAAAGAAGAGAAACTATACATGTAAGCTCTCTTTAGTAATTCAGTTCCTGTGTGGAGTTCACAGGTCATGAAGGTGCAAGGCATCCCTGCCCCCCTCCCCCACATCACTTTAATCATGGAAATAAAACAGTTTGAAGGTGGGGAAGCTGCTATGGCTGGAGAAGTTCTCCACGTGAGCCATAAGACCAATTTTGGGGGGTTCTGGCTCATTCAGAGAGTCTACCCAATAATCCTAGTAGGATGCAGGTGGGAGTCTAGCCAGAGATGGAGCATTATCATAATTGCCCAATTGGACTAACTTTTTCTGGGTCTTTGTGTGAATTCAGGGCTGTTATTGCAACAATAATTGGTCAAGACACTAGGTTTCAGGGTATTTTCTGCATGAATTCTTTCTAATGTGGCCTTCCCCAACCTGATGTCCTCTAGAGCAGTAGTTCTCAAACTGTGGTCCCCATATGTTCTTGGACTGTGATTCCCAGAAGGCTTTACCACTTGCTGTGCTGGCCAGGATTTTTGGAAGTTGCAGTTCAAGACCATCTGGGGACACAAGTTTGAGAACCACTGCTCTAGAGGGACTCAGGATGCGGAAGACTGATCTAACATACAGTATTTTGGTATCTTAATATATTAAACAAATTAAGGTGAAAGAGTATGGCAAGAAGTGTTCTGTTAGTAAACTTAGTTACTTAGCTGTTAAACCAGATCATTCATCTTGATCTGGTGATTTAGAGAAAAAAAATACTCTATTGGATGGAATTTTGATGTGATTTGATAGACTATAAACAAAAAGGCTTTTCTGTGTTTCATAAATACAGTGGTGCCTCGCTTAACGGGCGCCCCATTTAACGACGAATCCGCATAGCGATTAAGTTTTTGCGATCGTTTTTGTGATCACATTGCAATGTTTCTAATGGGAAAAAATCGCTTTGCGATGATCGGTAGCTGTTTCGCTTACCGATTTTTGCATAACGATGATTTCCCAACAGCTGATTGGCGGTTCCAAAATGGCTGCGGGTAAATAAAATGGCCGCCCGCTGTGTTTTTGCCTGGATTCCTTGCTTACCGGACAGCGAAAATGCCGGCCATATGGAGGATTTTCACATAAAGGTGAGTTTTTTGCCTATAGGAACGCATTAAACCGGTTTTAGTGCATTCCTTTGGGCTTTTTTATTTCGCATAGTGACGAATCCGTATAGTGACGATTTTGGCTGCACAGATTATCGTCGCTATGCGGGGCACCACTGTAGTTGATCAAGACACCATTTCTCCAGAGATTTTTTTCCCAGAAAAAAAATGCTGTAGCTTTATTCATTCTCTTTAGCATAGCTTCAACATCTACCACAACATTTCCAATATGTGTAAGAGAATTTTATCTTTAAACAAGGGGAAGGTTTAATTTATAGGTTTTAGTTTCCATGTTTATACTTCACTGTAGGAATCCCTGGAGAAAGACAGAATGCTTAAGGAATTGGCTAGCTCTCGGAACCATGAAATACTGCAACTGGAGAAAGAACTGAATGCCACTCATTTACAGCTCAGTCTTGTACAGCAAGAGTAAGACAATTAACTATTTTCTTTCCCCTCCTTTCTGCTATGTTCTGTATGAATTTTGAAAGTATTTAATCTTGATATTAATAAAAGATAGTTCATGAATATATAAAGCCATTTGAGTTTACAAAGTATCAAATATGTATTGTGTGCTTATTATCCTAATTGTGTGCATACAGTGGGGTCTTGACTTAAGAACGGCTTGAGTTAAGAACATTTTGACTTAAGAACCGCTCTCATAGGAAAATATTGACTTGACTTAAGTACTTAGATTTGAGTTAAGAACTGAAAAAAAACCCACGTGGGAGGCAGGGAAAGTGCAAAATGTGAACTTTCAGTTAACTGTTGGCCAGTGAAAAGGGTGCCTGTCTGCTTCCTCACTCCTCCCAGCGTTTAGAGAGTGGATTGGGAGACAGTCTTCAGACTGCCTGGTACTGTACTGCCTGGACTGTATTTTCCCTGCCTTCCCTGAACCTTTCTTGACCTAAGAAAAAAAAGAAACAAAATATCCCCCTCTAGTGGTTGAAGGCGGAATAGCAGCTTCCCATTAGTTTCTATGGACGGAAAAGAGCAGATACGGATCAAATGGTTTTCAATGCATTCCTATGGGAAATGCAGATTTGACTTGAGAACTTTTTGACTTGAGAACCGCCTTCCAATACAGATTAAGTTCTCAAGTCAAGACCCCACTGTACAAGGTACAAGGATGATTTTTTAAGATAAGTATGATGTCTATGTAGAAAAAATATTTATAAAATGATTCTCAGAAATCTAATTTCTTAGGTAAAACAACTAAGTCTTGTGGTACTTTAAGACAGTGTGGGTGTTATTTTCCACCAAGTCACTCCTGACCTCTGGTGACTCTGATAGGATTTTCAGGATTTGTGAGATGTTTTTACTGTTGTCATCCCCAATGAATGTCTATGGCCAAGGGGGATTTGATCTCACATCTTCTGTGTACTAAGCCAACACCTAGTCAACTACACCACAATGGCTCTTGTCTGAAAATCTAACAAATTTTATTTGCATAAGCTTTTGTGAACTACAATCCACTTCATTGGATGCATGGAGTATTGCCTCTGTTGATAAATATTTATAATGATCTTGAACTGAATTGCTGGAAAGGGTATTATGGATCATTGAGTCCAGCCCCTGTCAAAAAGGCTCAGTGGGGAATCAAACATCCCAACCTCTAGCTCCGCAGCCAGATGCCTAAATCACTGAGCTACATGCAAGAGTGGGAGGGGGGAAGTGTTGGAATAGAAATGCAAATGGTACAAATCCTAGTGATTATTTTAACAATGATTGATAAATATTAGTGCGAAGGTTATGATATAACAGCTTAGATCAGTAAATTTATAGAAGAAACATATTTTTTCCAATCCAAATGTGCTGGTGAAATGCCAGAGTCCACTCAAACTCCAAGAGGTAAGGCCTTTGTTATTATCTAAATTAGAAGAAACGGAAGCAAACTCTTGATGAATTTTTGTTCACCTGTTCCCTTTTGGAATATGTCTTTTAAGTCTTTTGTTACGTGATAGCTAATCAGAGGTCAGAGAGAGAGAGAATGAAGTGTTCCATGCTTTTTGGGAATATTACACTTATGTTGTCAGATTTGTGTTCATGTATTATTTTGCGTAGAGACCAGCCTATTTGCCATACATAAAGTCATTAGGGCATTGAAGGGAAAGAGTGGCAAATGTTGCATTGGAGACTGTGGAGACTCTGACCTTAGTATGCAAGTGTAAAATACAGTGGTGCCTCGCTTAACAATTGCCTTGTTTAGCGATGAATTCGCATAACGATGTGTTTTTTTAGAAAATAATATGCACCGTATAACAATGTTTCCTATGGGCGATTTTCGCTTAGCGAAGTTTGGGACCATGCTTCGCATAACGAATGCGATTTTAGGTCCCCTGCTTCACTTAACGATGTTTCTTTTTTCAATTAAAAAAGTGTCTTAGAAGGGTCAAAAACGGTTCTAAATGCTTGGATTCGTTAGAGGACCCC